GAACGGGTGATGGCGTGAGAGTCCACGGACCCTCCTCGGATCAATCGAGGCGTGTGAGCCATTCTCAGCTTTACGGGATTGATCTCTAAGCCATTACCAGTAGTGCATAGGAAGTATGGGGAGATATACACACTTTAAAACCAATAGTTTCGTTTCCCGAGAAACATCTGGTCTGGCAACCACGATTGTTCAAAATTTCTCGTCGAATTTTGGAAGGTTTGGAGATGCGGTCGTGGACCTTATTTCAATGTAGCCCGTCTCTTGAGAACCAGACCTCGAGGTACTTGAATTTCTACATCTGTACCAATGGGACCCCACTGATGAAAGTGTATAGACATTGTCTCAAGAAGACCATGATATATGTTCAAGAAATACTTAGTTTCCGGTCGCAGTTCATTCGGATTGGAATGGATCAAGCACTCTATGGCGCTACTGCAGAGAACAGGTGAAAAAGACAGCATTCCCAGGAAAAAGTGTACCCCGACCCTGACATCATATATGTTGCCCCCAACCGTGCCTTCTCTGCTCCTAGAGGTCCTTTTCATGTACACGAGGAACAGAAAAGGAGAGAGAAGACAACTCTGCCGAATTTACGACTTACCCTTTTTTGCCAATTTGTTTTCAGAAAATACCCACCCGTTCTTGAAGTGAACCTTTTTCCTGGGGAAGCAACAGAGCAATAGTAATGCACGTCCTCATAATTTCTAATAGTTTCAGCGATCATAATACACCTGGAGTGTCCATTTCCTTGTATACTAGGGGACCGCACAGCCCATGAGTTCTCTCGCAACGAGTGGGTGGAATCTCGAGTGGGAATTTTCAAGGTTTGCTCAAAGATTACGACGAGGCTCTTCCCGTGTGACGTCCTCATGAAGACTGAAATATGATGCAAATGAAAAGTACCGATAAACTAAATTTTAAACGGGACAATTGATGGTCATTTTTGAAACCCCTACCTAATTCCCTAATAAATTATTTCATGTGAGCCACATTTTACGTATTCTTATTCATTCATTCAGACGAAAGAAAAATTGAGAATCATTAGTAATTAGTTAATTACCTCAATAGTGTCTATGAAAAATTGCTTACAAAATAAATTCAATATCATGAGTTTTAAACCAATCCAAGATATGGTAATCCGCGCCTCATTAAGCGAAGGTAGTGCAGTTATCGCCTACGAACGAAAGCAATATATAACTTCATTTGTTTGTGTCTGTTATTCATCCAACCCGAACGAATTGCATACAAATCGCATTCCAGAATGATGGAAGCTTCTTTAGTCAAAAGTAGTTCAAGATTACGTGGACGACTGTGGGGGGAAGTAATTGCATTCCCTGTACAGAATTCTTAATTTCACAAAGGTGTGTTTTTGCGTCCTTCTCGAATACCGGATTGAATACACAGCGACCGGATTGGACGGTGCATATCCGGGGGACGCGGAGTCCCGCAAATACATCATTGATATGTGTTTTCCACTCAATTCGGCCGTTTACGATTTCATCCCAACGAGCCCGAACGGGTGAGGGCGTGAGAGTCTACGGACCCTCCTCGGATCAATCGAGGCGTGTGAGCCATTCTCAATTTCACGGGATTGAGGAATCTGGTTCACTTTCGCATTTAACTTACCGTATCCTTGCCCAGAAACCCTCTGGCCCTCATGTTACACCCTTCAGCTTACTGAAGAAATGTCCAAATTTCTCAAAATTTGACGTGTTTAGGACGCATTTCAGTTGGAAACGCAATGTAACCTTTCCTCATACTGTGGTATAACCCCCTGACACGGGACATCGTAAGCCTAAGATGCAGGAGGTCGTTGCAGAGGCTCTCGCGGATGGCGCAGTTCCGCATCCGCTCGTGGCGCGCGAAGCACCTCGACGCAAGATCCTCATTACGTCAGGAATTACAGGGTACTCGAGTAGAATTGGCGTGGAAAATACATTAAGGGAAAACATCTCTAAAATTTCTAATTTTAAACATTTATTGAAAATTCCAGAAACAAGAGCAAGGTAGTACTTCATACTGTATACGCGATCTGGTTCGCAAGGCCTTTATCCAAAGTGCGTGATTGGAGGAATTATGGGGATTTGCACATGCTTAAAACGTTGGCGACAATGCGTCCTGATTGCAGGATGCAGATTTTTTTCAATGAATCCCCTCTGGAACTGTTGAGAACGTTCCAGAAGATTATGATTTCGTAATTACTGATAACAATTCCAAAAATTCAACATTTTAAGAAAACTCGGCAAAAAAAAATGTTTTCTGGGACCATGCGTCCTGATGGCAGGACGCATTTTTTGACAAAAAAAAATACAAGCAAAAATAGGCTGGTCGTCAACGTGTTAAAAACCAAGAGTTTCGCTTCCCGAGAAACTTCCGGTCTTACAACCGCGGATGGTCAAAGTTCTCATAGAATTGCCAAAGCCCTGGAAATGCAGTCTCCGACCTTGTTTCAATGTCTCCCGTCTCTTGAGAACCAGACCTCGAAGTAATTGAACTTTTTCACCTGTTCCAATGGAATCCTAAATATTTAGAGGGTTCACTGTTGAGGATTTCTCTAGAAGGCCATGATTAGTGGCGAGGGGAGGCTCAGTTTCATTCCGGGCGCAGTGCATTCGCTATCGAAACGATGAAGCTCTGTCTGGAGAGCCTTCCTGGAACGGGTCAAAAAAGGACGGCATCCGCGTCAAAACGGCAAAAAATATCCGTCATTTAAGCGGCTCTACTTATGATGAGACTTGCTCAGCCTCACAGAATTCAAGAAACTGGCTCGCTTTCGTGCTTGTCCTTCCTTTCGCTTTCCCAGGAACTTTGTCTAGTATTCTTGACTAGTTTTTTTTTAAGTGAACGTATTTTTCATCAGTCGGAGCATCTGAAGGCAAATTTGTCAAGTCCAACATACGTTTTCATTATACAATGGGGAAATCAATTTTATCAGAAAAAATCACACATCGGCAATCCGCCATCAACTTGAATTTCAAGTGGGGGGATGACATCAGATTAAAACCCACCCGCGTCCCCCACGCAAAAGTATGCAGTGCACTGCAAAGGTTTGAAAGGGTGACCTATATATATACGGGAGGCATGGGGCCACAAAAAGCTAAATCTCTGCTACGTACATCAAGGAGATTGGGCTTCGGAAGAAAGAGATGATATGGAGGCACTCGCACGAACTCTCATTATCCTCAACGCATTTCCTCTCGTCCTCCAGGGCAGATACATCTACGCCGACGTCGAATTTTGCGCCAACGAATGTCTCGACTACAAGCAAGGTGGGTTGCTTCATTTTCAAATACATGTTTCGCGTCGGTCTCGTCTTCATTTCCTGAATGCATGGGATTTTCTGTAAACTTCATGATGATATTCCTTTTACGTTCCATAGTTAGCATTCGGGAAAATACAGGGTGTCGATAAAAGAATGCAACAGTTTCCAAATTTAATACCGCGATAAGTAACGGATGAAACGCAGTGATCTTTGCATCGAAATGAAGGGGAAGACTGGGAGTTTGTTTATATCCCGTTATAGATGTCGTTAGCAGCTCGAAATGCGCGCGCAAGGGAATTTCCTAATTGGCGCCTATTTTGGCGCGCGCCTCGCCCCCATCAGTACAATGGCCACAGTTCAGCAGAAGGCTGAATTGATCATTGATGCCAAAGTCATATGCAGCCATCTCTGTCGTCGATGCATGTTGGGTTTTTTAAATACTTGTATACAAGATGATATGCGTTTCACCCTCTAAGATGCCATGAATCCATGATTTGATTCCATCCGTAAATAGGAAATATTCCTCAACGCTACACTCTTATAAATCGGTATCTAAAAAAAAATCAGGAAATTTAAAAATATCGAATTTATAGGATGCTGAGCATTGAACCGTGATGAAATTTGCTCATCCTCAGCATTTTCGGCTTGCACAGATGGGCGTTCCACGGCACCGGAAAATTGAGGGAGTGAGATCTCAACGTGTCGTAGGTTTTCGGTAATCATACAAGTAAAAGTTCCCCTTGACGCATGAAACAGTTGGAGCGAAATTTGCGAATGATTAATTTCGTTCCCATGTAGAATTTCGCACACGAAAGAAAGTGGAAAAATGCTAGATCCTTGCTTGCTATTAGGGTCGTAAATGATTTTTTTTTTATTGGTGGGGGGGGGGGGGGGA